ATGAACATTTACTAACTTTTGTCCTAGTTTTTCATATGCAGCATACTTGTAAGTTCGAAATTCTATTTTCCATGCAAATTTACCTAAAATTATTTTCCAAGTATATCTGATTATTAAAATGTTTACTTGTTTTCTCTTCTTTGTCCAAATTTTCTTTGTAAGTTGGCTCGCATTGTATACATCTGCTTTATTTACATGTCTGCAAAAACGGTGCCCAATTCTTGTACAGGTTTTGTTTTCTCGTCTGGGGCTGGTCTTATCCCATCTGAATTTCCCGTCTGATGAAACGTCTGCTCTTGCTGTTGTTCAACATCACTGAGTCGGTTCTGACTCATCATTACACATCCACAAAAGAGCCAAGTGTTTCCTGACCCTTCACCGCATGCACAATCGTGAACCCATTGTAGCAGCTGTGTAAGTCATGTAAGTTACGATTACTTGTATTTAATCAACTGTTCCAATTAAATTTTCTGTTTTGTAAAAAACAACAACTTTGAGAGAGACATATTTTAAGACAACTGGAACCAGAAAATGGACTTCCCCTCACACAGCAGACAAGTTCTCAGGAGAGACTGGTCCCTGGATAAAACATCATGCTTAGTACAGGGGCAGCGAACAAGAGGAAGGCCTTGGACAAGATGGATTGACACAATGGCTGCAACGATGACCTTGAACATAACAATTGTGAGGTTGGCTCAGGGCTCGGCAGTGATTTGTTCTGTTGTACAAGGGTCGCTACGAGTCGGAACCAAATTTATAGCACCTAAAAACAACAACTATATTAGTGGAGCAGACGCTGGCATTAGGCTGCTAACCCAGTAGTTCAGAGGTCAGCATTTAAACCCACCAGCCACTCTGGAGGAGGAGGAGGCAGTCTGCTTCTCTAAAGGTGCCAGCCTCCGAAAGGCAGGGGCAGCTCCGCGCGGTCCTGCAGGGTCACATGAGTTGGCATAGACTGGATGGAGATAAGCTTGAGTTTGAGTCGTAGCTTCGGTTAGAGCCCCACTGGAGGCTGGGTTTTCATTATTACGCTAACCAGCAAGCATTTCCAGAGTGTGTGTCTGAAAGTCCATCTCTTTTGCGATATGAAAAGAGCAGATCAATAAGATACAATAATAATTTATAAATTATTAAGGGTGCATGGGGGAGAGGGGAGGAGGAAGGGAAGGGGAGGGGG